CTCAGAGATTTTTTTTTTTGAGACAGAGTCTCACTTTGTTGCCCTAGGTAGTGTGTCGTGACATCATAGCTCACAGCAACCTCCAACTCTTGGGCTTAAGTGATTCTCTTGCCTCAGGCTCCCACGTAGCTGGGACTGCAGGTGCCTACCACAATGCCCGGCTATTTTTTGGTTGTAGTTGTCGTTGTTTGGCAGGCCTGGGCCATGTTTGAACCTGCCAGCTCTGGTGTGTGTGGCTGGTGCCCTAGCCACTGAGCTACAGGTACCAACCCCTGTTTCAGAGATCTTATGTACTGTAATACACCCTGAAAAATGTGGAAAAAACGATCCATTGCACAAATACCTAAACTCTAAAAAGGATATGTACCTCCCTATCTTCTCATGCAATCATTTTTTTCATAGACTTTCCTATTCTTTTTATATATTTTTCATAACATATAATTCTTTTAATATTTTTCATAATACTATTGTTGTCCTCACAGGCTAGAGAAAATATGTGTTCTTTGTTGTTGATAATTATATCATTATCATTCTCCTTTGGTTGTTGTGTAGACATCCTTATTATAATTTTGAAGATGGTCTGCTACCGATTAAGTTGATAGTAGTTTAATAGCCTGCCTCCACTGGACATTGATGGTTTCCACCTTTCATTATTAGAACTAGGCCTATAATGAAGGGCTGCCTCACACTCAGTCACCCACGGTAACCTAACCTCCAGTCCCATCTTGGCGTGGAAACAGCTCTGGCCAAGATAAGCAGCGTTCCTCTACTTAATGAGCATTGTCAGTTCTTACCTTAATTGACCTCCTCAGAGTTCCCGGTTGTTTGCTGCTGTCTTCCTCCTGTAATTTGTCCTTCCCTTGGCTTTAGGACACTGTCCTCCAGAAGGCTTTTCCTCTCTTTTCTGGCAGTTCCTCTCTTTTCTTTGGTCCCTGTTCTGGAGACTTGAACTTGCTTCAAGTTCTTTCCCAAAGATGAGTTCTTTCCTTGGTCGTCTCTGGATATGGGAGTCATCTCTTCCCTTGTCTTCAACTTCAGTGATACATTAGTGGCCTCCAGATCTCTTTCTCTATCCCAAGTCCTTCCACCCAAATAGTCACCAGCACATACTAGACCAGGCATCCTCAAACTACATACGGCCCGCGGGCCACATGCGGCCTGCTGAGGACATTTAATCGGCCCGCCTGGTGTTTTTGCCGCCGCTGCCTGTCCTGCTTAGCAGCTGACTCGTCCTGGGACCCACAGTCCAGCCCTCCAACAGTCTGAGGGACAGTGAACTGGCCCCCTGTTTAAAAAGTTTGAGGACCCCTATAACTAGACACTTGGTGAGTATTTATTAAATTACTGAACATTTTCATCTGGATAAGCTATAACCCTTGAAAATCAGTCCATAACTGAATTCTTCATCCTTCCTGAAGCCCCTCCCGAGATCCGTTCCCACTCCTATGCTCTCTATCTTGGTAAAAGCTGCCGTCATCTACTTAGTTAAGTAAACCAGAAACCGGAGAGTCACCCGAGGCTCACTTCCCTCCTCGCCTCCCCGTATCTACTCAGGCAGCCAGCCAGCCTGCTGGTCCATTTCCTGAGTTTCTCTCAATCTGGCCTCCTTTGTCTCACACGGCCTAACCTCAGAGCAACGTCATCTCTCACCTGCACTCCCATAGAATACATTTTTTGCTGGTCTTGTCATTCTTACTCACATCCCTCCCCACAAGTTGGAACTCCATCTTCCAAGAAGCTGACAGAGTGATCTTTATAAAAGCCTAATCTAATTCCACTTCTGTGTTCAGAGTACAGCCTAGGAGTGAGAGGTTGCTGTGAGCTATGATGCCACAGCACTCTACCAAGGGTGATAAACTAAGATTCTGTCTCTAAAAAAAAAAAATTTTTTTTTTTCTGATACAGAGTCTCACTTTGTCACCCTTGGTAGAGGGACATGGTGTCATAGCTCACAGCAACCTGAAACTCTTGGGCTCAAGCAATACTCTTGCCTCAGCCTCCCGAGTAGCTGTGACTACAGGCACTTGCCACAATGCCCAGCTATTTTTAGAGATGGGGTCTCGCTCTTGCAAGGGTTGGTCTCAAAGCTATTTTTAGAGACCAAGTCTTGCTCTTGCTCAGCCTGGTCTCAAACCTGTGAGCTCAGGCAATCCACCTGCCTTGGCCTCCCAGAGTGATGGGATTACAGGCATGAGCCACTGTGCCCAATTTTTTCTTACTTGCTGATTGCCTATTGTAATGGACTGAGCTCTCTGAGGCAGAGAATTGACATCAGATGTGCTCTGTAAGTACATGTTGGAGAGAAATTCTTTGTATAAATACGTTCCAGGAATGAGATTAAAATATGTAACCTACATGTGAAAAATATGTACTGATAAAATGTTTCTCTAGGCCGGGCATGGTGGCTCATGCCTGTAATCCTTGCACTCTGGGAGGTTCAGGCAGGTGGATTGCCTGAGCGCACAAATTCGAGACCAGCCTGAGCAAAAGCAAGACCCCTGTCTCTACTAAAAAAATAAAACAAGCAAACAAACAAACAAACAAAAAACCTGCCCAAAAGTGGCTCAGAGCTTGTAGCTCAGTGGCTAGGGCGCTAGCCATATACACTGGAGCTGGTGGGTTCAAATCCAGCCCTGGCCTGCCAAACAACAATGACTACAACCAAAAAATAGCCAGGCATTGTGGCAGGCACCTGCAGTCCCAGCTACTTGGGAGGCTGAGACAAGAGAATCTCCTTTTTTTTTTTTTTTTTTTGAGACAGAGCCTCAAGTTATCCCCCTGGGTAGAGTGCTGTGGCATCACAGCTCACAACAACCTCCAACTCCTGGGCTTAAGCGAGTCTCCTGCCTCAGTCTCCCAAGTAGCTGGGACCACAGGTGCCTGCCACCACGCCCGGCTATTTTTTGGTTGCAGCCGTCATTGTTGTTTTGGCGGCCCGGGCTGGATTCGAACCTGTCACCTTAGGTGTATGTGGCTGGCGCCTTAGCCACTTGAGCCATGGGCGCCGAGCCAAGAGAATCTCTTAAGCCTAACAGTTGGAGGTTATTGTGAGCTGTGAAGCTACGGCACTGTTCCTAGGGTGATGTAGTGAGACTCTGTCTCAAAAAAAAAAAATAAATCTGAGGCAAGAGGATCACTTGAGCCCAAGAGTTGGATGTTGCGGTGAGCTATGACATCATGGCACTCTACCCAGGGTGACAGCTTGAGACTCTGTCTCAAAAGAAAAAAATAAATCTTTCTCTAAAGAGTTGTATGGGCTTATACTGCCATCAGGAATACCACGAGTGTATCAGTGGAATCATGTTTTTCAACAGCCACTTATTGAATGCTTATCATCTGTCAGGTGTTGTGCCAGAACAGTATTCGAGTATATGAATATTTCATCATTTGGAGTAGTGCAGTCCAATAGAACTTTCTACATTAATGGAAATATTCTGTATCTGTGCCGCCCAATATGCTAGCCTTGAGCTACGTGTGGCTACTGAGCACTTGAAGTGAGATTTCATTTCTTTTAATTTTACTTAAGTATAAATATCCACAGGTGGCAAGTGGCCATCATTTTCAACAGCACACCTCCAGAGAGAGAAAGAGGAATGGTTCAGCAGGTGTAACTGCCACACTCTGGATTCTTTTCTTCCTTTTTAAGTGCGAGTGGTCTAAGCTCACGTCACCAAGGTGTGGGCAGCTCACAGTAATAATCATCATTATTAGTCAGCACCACCTATTTTGGGAAACATTTTATAAATAGGAGTTTACGTCAGGAGAGTAGCACCTTAACGTGAGGAATACAACCAAAATGTCTAAGTCTGGAGATTTGAGGTCAAGTGGGAAACGTTACTCAGAGAGCCTTTTGCACAGAGGTGTGGACTTAGCTACTCCAAAGGAGGCCAGAAGCATAGAGAAAGGCATCTGTTGGACTTGTTTTTCCACTTAAACTGCCAAGCTTGTTTTGATTAGGCAGGAAGTGAAGCAACTTCTCAGGGAGAGGGGCCAGCATCTGTATTTCCCTGGGCAGAGCAGACCTTTTACCTTTTACTTTTTCCTTGGAAGCCTAGGCTGAGTTTTGCTTCCCAATTTAAGGGAAAAGGGGTGTGGGTAACACTACTGGTTTTTCTGGTTTTCTTAGATTTTGAGCTCAAAGTTATATTTTTAATCAGCACTGAGTATCTGGCTTCTCCAAATAATTTATGTGCTCCTAAAAGAGACCTGCATTTAAATTGCACAATTCTTTGTTCATACAGGACTTTTAAATGAACGAGTTAGATGAATCTGGTCAATAAGCATTCGTGACCTACTGGCCGGCTTTCATGATGGGAGAGGGAGGAGTTTCAATTTCTTATCGGAATTATTGGAAATGTGGCGAAGAGATAACCTGGAGTATATTGTACTGAAAAGTCCAGTTTTAATATTTAATATGAACATCGTATTCCCTTGGAATTCGGATAAGCAGCCGAGCTGAGAAATCGAGTAAGAGGCCGTGTGTGTATGTGTTGTTGGCTGGCGGGGCAGGCCTTAACCAGGGCAGAGAACTTGGGGTTTTCCCAGGTTAACTCTTCCCTGGTTTTCCCAGGGAACTGCTCCAAAAAGTGGTCCACGAAGTGCCCACGCGACCTCACAGGGGGTGGGGTGGGGAAATCAGACGCTCGGGCCAGCGCCTCCAGTTCGCTCCAGCGCTCCAAACTTGCAGCGCTCCACCGGCGCGCGCTGGGAGCCGGACCAGCCAGCTCCGGTGAGCGCAGCGGAGCGAACCATCCTGCTGGCCGCGGGTAGGCAGGTCGGGGTAGTGGAACGCCGGCCGCCCGAGTCTCCGGTCCCCCTGCCGACGCCACCGTCTCCTCCCGCCCCCGATCGGGAGTCGCGCGTGCCGTGGCCGGCCGCGGGGTTCTCGGGGGCGCGGCACTGGCCACCTCCCCCCGGCCGGCGCGGGGTGGTAGCGGCCGGTTTGAGAGTTTCCCGGGCCGGGCGGGGGGGCGGGCTCACGCCGCGGCGGCGGGAGGAGGGACAAAGGGGTGGGTCTCCGCGGGTCGGCACCCGGGCGGCCAGGGCTGCAGGTCAGTGGACCGACTGGCCGCGCCGAGGAGGAGCGGGAGAAGGAGCGAGGCCCAGAGCTGTGAGCCACGCGGGGACCAGCGCCCGAGATGCCGGTGCGGGGAGATCGCGGGTTCCCACCCCGGCGGGAGCTGTCAGGTTGGCTCCGCGTAAGTGCCCTCTTGCGCCGCGCGGTCGGGAGAAGGATCGGAGCGCGTGGTGGGCTCTGCTCGCCGGCTTCCCTGAAGCTGCACCCTGAGGCGCTTTAGGAAGCTGGAGTTCTCCAAGCGGAGGTGGGGACCTGGGGAGAGGGCAGGTTTCATCGGAGGGGGCGCTGATGGCTCCTGGCCTCCCAGGCTCCTGGTCTATAAAGTCACTGGGGCTTGAGATTAAGTCGTGAGTAGGGAAACGGTCTCGAGCCCAGTGTCCTGGATTTCTGCTACTTTGGAAGCGTCGCGTTGTGCCTGTTGTACGTCTTTTGTGTTTCCTTCTCTATTTCAAACCACACTCTCCACTTGATGTAAAGTTATAAGAATGTGTACGTGACAGACACTGAAAACTCATCAGAGACCAGAATCCTCATTTTCCTTTTCAATCAGCTGCCTCTGCGGTGTAAGTAAAAGTATTTTCAGGAAGGAATGGAAATGGAATTTTGGAAAAAGCCACAAAAAAAAGAATGATGAATACACCTCACTCTGGTGCTAGCTTGCCTACCTGTCACCAGTTCCTTTTATTTTATGTTTTCATCTGTCAAGTTTCTGCTGTTAGTTAGTAGTTTATTGTAAGTTATAAATAATGGGGAGTTTCACTTCCAGGGTTTTAACATTCTTGAAATGTGGAGGAACTTGGGAGTGAATAATCCAGGGCTTAGTAACAAAATACAGCCTCCTACCTCTATTTTAGCTTCAGTTCTTAGGAAGAGTTGCTTTCCGGCAGCTGTCTGGTCTGAGTAATAATGGTGGTTTCCCAAAGTTCCCAGCCGGGAGTCATCTCATGATAGAAACTCCTCTGCGGGTGCTCCCTCCCTTAGCCAGAGAGGGCTACCTGCGAGGGAGAGAGGCCCTTTTCTTCTGCTCTCTTGGTGGTCTGTGCTGGGTGTGCTGACAGTCACCTTGGGAAAATAGGTCCACCTGTGTCTGCTTTACTCCTGAGCCAGGGGGTGGGTAACTTCTATCAGGCACACCCTGGAAAGAACTCCATTTAAGTGAGAAATAAGCCGTAGTAATTGCATTTGTTGCAAAATGTCATTTAATAATCTGCCTAAGAGAATGAAATTTGATTATCCAATATATTTTCACAAACAACTCCACTTCCATGTGGGGAATACAGAACTGGGTAAGAGTGTGCTCCTGCTACAGTCTTGCTGCGAAAAAGGGCAAGTAACTGAGAATCCATCGAGTGTCATTTGGGAATGTGGACAGGGTGCTGTGGCTTCTCCACTGTGGGGCGATGCTTGGGGGTTGCTTTACTAAGGCAATGATTTGGGGGGTGTTTCTTGGGGTTTCTCAGAGGTTATGGCCAGAGATTGACGAAGGGCACTTTTTCACCCTGAAATACTGCTACAACTTTTTTAGTACCACTGAGCTGACAACAAGCCCCACTGGCGCCAGTCACAGTGTGGGGATACAGAGATGAGTGAGACTCGGTTTCCGCCTCCATCTGTTGGACCTGGAAACTTTAGACTTGTTTTGGACTCTGCAGTCTCTCTGTTGGGATTCCTGGGGCTGAGGGAGGGAATGGGCATTGCCGATGAGCACTGTGCAAGAGGGTGGGACTGTCCCCTGTGCACTCCTGTCAGGGATCTTTGCTGGGAAGAAGGGGCATTGGAACACATACCTGACAGTGCAAGCCACGGCTGAGAAGGGGGCCAGTAAAGCATAATGGGGCTGAGTAAGGTCTCAGTGAAATGATTCTGAGTACACTGTAATGAAGTGAGGATCAGTAAAGGGGAGCTGGTATTAAGAACCGAAACAGATGCTGAAAACTCTTAAGTGCGGGTGCTGGGTTGAAAAGGAGGTGAGGTCTAAAAGTACAGGCAGGAGGTGCCGGCTAGGTTTCAAGTAAAGAAACGGAGAAAAAGGCTCATAGTGTCTTGAAAGGCCTTGAATGCCCACACAAGTTTGATGGGGAGGTGTTTGAGATATCCCTAATGTAGGCAGTGCCTGTGCTCAGTGATTAGGGTGCCGGCCACATACAGCGGGGCTGGCAGGTTCAAACCTGACCTAGGCCAGCTAAACAACAGTGACAACTGCAACAACAACAAAAAATAGCTGGGCATTGTGGCGGGCACCTGTAGTCCCAGCTACTTGGGAGGCTGAGGCAAGAGGATCGCTTAAGCCCAAGAGTTTGAGTATGTGAACTGTGAGTTTGAGTATGTGAGCTGTGACGCCACGGCACCCTACTGAGGGTGACACAGTGACATTCTGTCTCAAAAAGAAAATTCCTAATGTGGTCTTGGCTTGATTTTTTTTCCTTACAAAGAAGTAAACAATTTCCTTACAATTCCCCAGTAAACATCACCCCACCCCCTACACAGTAAATATTACTATTTTTGAGGCAGTCATAGGCTTAAGACCAATGAATTTTACGTCACCCCCTGGGGAATGACTTTTGCAGTGACTTCTGCCTACATTTGTATAACTTTTGATCTAGTTCTTTGTACATTGACAAAAGGTCACAGCCAACTATTTCTCATACAGACAAGTGTGAGAACTTGTCTGTATACTGCTGAAGGCAAGGGAGATGATAACAGCCCCACATTAACTTTTGAGTTTCAAGGTTTTCTCTCCTTAAGAAGGTTGTCTTGGGTGGTGCCTGTGGCTCAGTAGATAGGGCTCCGGCCCCATATACTGAGGGTGAGGGGGTTTGAATCCAGCACCGGCCAAACTGCAACAAAAAATAGCCGGGTGTTGTGGCAGGTACCTGTAGTTCCAGCTACTCGGGAGGCTGAGGCAAGAGAATTGTCTAAACCCAGGAGTTGGAGGTTGCTGTAAGCTGTGACGCCACGGCATTCTCCCAAGGGCGATAAAGTGAAAGACTCTTAAAAAAAAAAAAAAAGGTTGTCTTTTTTAGGAGATAGGTAAATTCCTAAAACTAGGTGGGGCCACTTTAGTACTATGTACAATAATAGTATGTCGAATAGTAGTTTAAAACGTCATGCAGATTTAGTTGGGGAGTGGCAGGGAGTGTGGGTGTGGTGCGGATGGGGTGAAGAGTTAGGATGGGTTAGTAATTACTGCTGAAACTTTCAACATACTTTCTACCTAGGACACTAGCCACCAGGGGATTCCTTGATAAATCCCTAGAACAAATCCAATTAAACAGTTGTGGCTGCAGACTAATTTATCTATGCTGAGAGCTGACTCCCAATAAAACGCCTCATTGATTACTCTCTAAGCAATAATCAGGGGTCCAACAGTTGGTGGCCAGAACAGCCTTGGACTAGCCAGCCTTGGTGCCAAAAGGCATTTTCCAGCAAAGGTGATTTGGAGTATAATCACATCTGAGGGTGGGGTTGCTCCAGATGTGGGTGGAGGTAAATAAGCAGAATGGTTATCTCTGGTGTTTACTGAGTTAGCATCTTGATCCTGAACGCCAGGGTCAGGGTCAGAGGTCATATTTAACACCTGTTTACTGAGTCGAACACATCAATGGTTAATGTGTGAACCTTGTCAAAGTTCAAAAACTATTTAGGGCCTATTTCACTGTCACAGGAATTTTGCGATGACCTGTTTTAGCAAAGGTGCTTCCAGCTAGCAAATTTAGGAGAGTCTAAAGTGGCATTATGATTAAACTTTTTGAAAAGACTGTATGTTTCAATATGATAGCAATGGGAAAAAGTTTTCAGGAGTGTGGTCCCAACATCCAGAATTCCAGTAGTGAGCTCCGATTCGATGGTACCTAGGAAAGCAGTAGATTCAACTTGTACATTGTTGCCTGAGAGGCAGAGTTCCAAGTTGGAAAGCATCCCTCCCACTTTTTCCACTTGATTAGGAAATGCACTTTTTAGAACTTGGCGCTGACTACTAGAGCCCTGAAAGGCCTGGGCGGGCTGGGGCATTTGCTACTCATATTGGTGACTGTTCCATTCTGGTTTTTATAGGGATTAGTGTCTATCTTCTAGCTGGCCACGGCAACCAGAGCTTCAGTATAACTTGGGAGCGCAGAAGAGCAATTAAAGACTGTCACATCCAAAAAAAAAAAAAATCCTAATTATTTAATTAAGCATTTTTTTTTGTCTTTTATGCTGTCCTCAAAATGGTATTTTCCAAAGTGTGGCATACAGACAGGTAGTATAGGGAGGGACATATAATCTTTTTCAATTACGCATGAATATTACATGTTAAGAATAGAAAAACATAGGCTCGGTACCCGTAGTACAGTAGTTATGGTGCCAGCCACATACACCGAGGCTGGCAGGTTTGAACCCAGCCCAGGCCAGCCAAACAACAATGACAACTGCAACAGAAAATAGCTGGGCATTGTGGTGGGCACTTGTAGTCCCAGCTACATGGGAGACTGAGGCAAGAGAATCGCTTAAGCCCATGGAGGTTGCTGTGAGCTGTGTTGCCACAGCACTCAACCAAGGGCTACATACAAAAAAAAAAAAAAAAGAAAAGAAAAACATAAAAGCCAGCCCCAAATCTGTTTATTTGGCTATAGTGCTTAGAATAAGGCAAAAATAAAAATTAAAGCAGTGAGTTTGTTTTAAGAAAAATTACAGCTCTGGGTTGAGTGGTATCAGTGAGGCTAAGGTAGTAATTGTGAAGATAGCCCTTGGCACCTGAGATTTGGGCAATATTGCTTAAAATATGATGGACACAGTCTTCCCCCCCCCCTTCAAAGGGGAAAGTTAAATTTAGAATGGTCCAGAAAAACCAGGGAAGTTGAATTGGATGGATTTAATGTAAAGCATGTATATCTTGCTCTAAACTACCCAGCTCTCTTATCTGTGATTGTAGATGTTATATTTGTGACTTAATATCTGGCCCTGTTCTCTTTCCTTTCTTTGCTTCCATAAGCCATCCTGCAGTTCTTAAGACATTTTTGATATGCTAGAATGCCAGGGCAGGAAATAAGTTTGGCACTGCTAAGGGACGCCACTCTGTTATCAAGTGAATCTCACTCATGATGCATTGCTGAGGAATGCCTTACAGACAAAGAGCCTTAC